CACACACACACACACACACACACACACACACAGACACACACACACAAAGGGGGTCCGAAAGGGGGTCCGAAAGGGGGTCCGAAATCCCCCGATAGTTGCGTGCGCTGGGGAGGCCCGGCCCCCAACCGGGTGCGCTGCCCGGCCAGGCCGCCCGGGACCTCCCCCGGGCCCCAGCCGGTCACCCGGGCGGCCCAGATCCCCACTCAGGTTTGTTGCCGATTCTGAAAATTTTGCGGCTTGGGCCTACAGGACAACAATGGCTGGCGGCACCATCCCAAAAACGGAAAAAAGCACGGCAGCTTCGTCAACTTAGGCTCGTGTGAAGTTTGTCGCCTATTCCAAAAATTTTGCAGCTCAGGCCTATTGGACCACAATGGCTGGCGGCACCAGCCAAAAACGAAAAAAAGTGTGCCAGCTTTGTCAACTTAGGCTCGTGTGAACCGGTGGTTTAAACCACCAGTACACAGCTCCAGCCTTCAGAAATTTGTTCGTCGTCGATTCCGGTTTGGGCCTACCGAAGCACACTGGCTGGTGCTGCCAGCCAAAAAACAAAAGAAGTGCGCCGCCGGTTGTTCGAAAAAGCTTGGCGCACAGTGCAGCACTTCCAGACGTGGTTGTACTGGTGGTTTAACAGCGTTTTTCCCAAAATGGAGCGGTGCTGCCACTTGGGAACCTTCGGTTCTTTTTTCTTTGCTTTTTCTTGGAGGGGAGGGGGGGGGGCACTTTGGTTTTTCCTTTCTGTTTTTTTTTTTTGTTTTGTACACGTTGGATAAGTAAGGCTTAACCTTCAGCAGTTCTTTTCAAGGCTCTCATGACTCGAGCGAAAGCCCCGCACCAGCCGGCTCCCCTCTGGCGTCGAATCGGATCCTCCTCCAGGCTCCTCTGCTTTGTGGACTTGGTAATGCGGTAACACTGGTGGGATTAGTAATTTTTGTTCTTAGGGGGAAATACATCTTAGGCTAACGAATATACAATTGGAAAATTCATACTATAAACTTTCCTGACAATTTGAATACCATCGGGACGCCTTGATGTATCCGAACAAGGGGTTTTGTTTTTATTTTTTCATGGGTTTTACCACTTTTGCAGAGTTTTGCTTGAATTTGGCAATGAATTTCGAGATAACCCTCAGCTAGTGCTGCATAACGTTTTAGTTTTCTGTTCTTTCCATTAAATTTTGTAATTCTTTTTTCTTTCCCTTTGCAGGGTCCATGCTTATCTTCTCTGTATCATTCCAATTTTAACGGATGCCCATGAGTATAGTTAAATAGTTCACATTTTTTTTCAGAGAGAAGGTGGACTTGGGAATCAAGATGGTCTTGATGGCCATCCCGAAGCCCAGACTCTAAGATTGCTCACTCCTATCCGCTTTCATTCCTCAGTTTTTTCCATTTTGCTCTGGGCTACGAGAGCAAAATGGCTGGCGGCGCCAGCCAAAAGAAGGCCCATGTCGCTTTGTCTTTTTTTTTGGTGTGCGGAGTGTTTTCAGGCTTGGAAAAATGTCCGCCGAATGTAACTGCAACAGCTCTGTAATTACATTACTGTATAAGTGGCATGCTCTTTTTGCTCTATTTCTCGGCTTCGTCTGCTCAGTTTCATAATATCAGATTTTAAAACTGGGAAATTCTGCTGATGCACAGTCATAAAAATCAGAGTTGGAAGGATATAGATTTTAAAACTGGGAAATCCGAAATTCTGCTGATGCACGGTCATAAATATCAGATTTTAAAACTGGGAAATTATTTAGAACGCATGCACTTGTAAATCAAGACGGTACAACAATGCTGGTTAGCATCTTTCTTCCCGACTTGGATCACTGCTGCGCGCCAAAGAAAAATGAAACTGTGAATCAAGATGACCGAGGTCCGGTAGGTTGAGCTCCTGTCAACGCGGTGGGTAGACCGCCGCCTCGGAACAAAATGGCTTGGAGACGTATTGGTGGTTTAAATGAGGAATGCATAGTGCTGAGCACTGTAGGTGTAATGGTTAGGTGAGGATCTGAACCGAATGGACCCGAACCGAAGCCGTGGTGCCAGGGAGTTCAAACTTCTAAATTGAATACGAGAACTCTGGCGCAGGAGCTTGGGTACTGCTCCCAGCACAGAGCAGAGATAGGTAGACATAGACCCATAACCTTAGGATAGCTCAGTTCTGGTAAAGTAAATTTAAGGTAGTCTTAGACCCTAGCCCTAGTTCCTAGCTCCAATCTCGTCCTGAACCAGTGGAATAGCTTCCTTCCCATTGCTGGAATAAGGTAGGGATTCTGGTCGGACTAATAGACAAGGGTAGGTAGGTAGTTAAGGATGAGGTAGTTACAAGATTTGAGAGAAGAAAATAGGCTAGCAAACGCAGCTTGTCCCCCATATGAGGAGCAGACAGCTTATTTAAAAAAAAAAATGGATGCAGGTTTTGCATATTTACGTTGGACATGCGTGTGTGGTCAATCATCAGACTCGCTGTGAGATCTGAAGCTCGTTTTGTACTTCTGTGTTGCCTGCCGGTAGGGCCTCCTCTTTTGACTTAGATAACCCCTTCAGTTCCTCTGGCCTTCTTGCAGCAGCAAATTAACATGCAACACAGGTCCTAACTTTTCCCAAACACATTACATGTTCAGCTTTGACTCCGGCTTTAGGTGGCCGCTTTGTTTCTATTGCTCACTGTTTGTGTGGGCAATCCGAGTAGTGTAGAATAAACCCAGGTTTCTTTTTGTAGGGTTTAGGTGAGGGAGTCCCAGCTGTTGGAGTCCTTGCTGCTTTGTTGACTGTTGTCATCCTGATCAGCACTGCTTTTGGTTGAACTTCTCATTTCTGTGTCAGTGTCATTGCTACATTACAGAGTAGGTGATCGGCATGTTATGGACCGTGCGCCCCGTAGTCGTCCAGCGAGTCACACAACCTAAGCAACTGAGAAGTGCAACAAAGAAGAGTGTCCAACTCTCTCTCTCTCTCTCTCTCTCTCTCTCTCACGCGCGCGCGCGCCCCCCCCCTCTCTCACACACACACACACGCACACACACACACACACACACACACACACATACAACACACAACACACCCACACCCACACCCACACGGAGAGTGATAGAGATAGTGGTGACTTGAGTGTGTTGTTTGGGAAGAATAGGAGGGCCAGTGCTGCTTTACTTGTGGGCTGACTCGGAGGGCTCACCAAGGTTTTTCAGACTTACTGCGTCTGGTCGGTGCTTTCTTGCTGGTGGATCGTTCTGTGTTAGGTATGTTGTCTTCTGTCCTTTACCTTTGTTTTTATGGATTGAAAAAACTACATATATTTGTGCAACTGTGCCGCTTCGGCTGCAGACGGGTGTATCAGAAATTCCCACTCAACCACACAAATGTGGGGAACCTTGCACCTTCTATTATATTGCGCATCTATACCTTTTTTGTTTATGGATGGTTTGTGATGGTACGAGTGTGGAATGAGAGAGAGAGTTTGGGGATGTTGACTAACACACACAACCTGATGTCGAACCGTCCTCCTGACTTCTCTCTCATAACCTGATGTCGAACCCTCGAGTATCAGCCACCTCCTGACTTCCTTGTCGCTGGTGGGCTGGCATCACTCCCCCCACCATAGCCTGGTATACACAGCTGCAAGCGAGTGCAAGTGCATCAGTCTGTCATGGTAGTCAAGGGAACCCAAGTGGGACTTCTTCCAGTCAGTATTGAGGCATTCTAGCTGTATTAACCAACATGTCTTTTATTGGACTTGCTGGACTCCTTTATTGTTGCCCAGCCACTCAGCCAGCCTCTGGGCCTGGACAGAATTTTCTGTGGCCTGCTACTGCTGTATCTTTCCCACTTTCCAGGCGGGGTCCGGAAGTACTGGAAAGGTCTGGTACCCTGTCTATTGATATCAGTCAAATCCTTTTTGGCAAAGTATTTCCCAGCATGTTACGGGAGCGGAAGCTGCGGAGATTATCCCCAAGGCCAATTGTGAAAACGAACAACGGGGAACAAACAATTTTCGAAAGAATAAAGGAGAAGATTGAAAACACACCGAAGTGTACAATATTGAATATTTACATTTATCATGATTTATGGTACAGCTCGCAAGTTGCTGCGAAACCGTGGGCTCTTGCGGACAGAACTGGTGTGAATTCTATTTATTTTTAAAACGTTCTCTCTCTGAAACAGAAATATCTTTTGAATCACAGAAAAATTCACTTTGCTGGGTCAGAAGATTCAAAACATACAATGATTTTTCTGGACTTCTCCTACTCTCTTTCTTTAAAATGCCCTGCATCATTATATGTGAATTTTGGTTGTGCGGATAAACTTGGATGCAGTGAGATGGACAAAGCACACATTCGGCTTGCAGCAGCGAAAGCGGTCGTTAGGTTGGCGAAGAGATACGACACACAGATTTCTTCAACTCTTTTCCGGTTAACTATTACAACTGTGCAGGTAAGTTTTTTCTTGAGAACACTTAAATCTCTGATAGCTGTGTGGTGTATATTTCTTTTTGGAGCTGCACTAACATGTTGACCCGTGCATCTTGCTGTATCGTACCCCGTTCTGTCTTGTTCTGCTTGCTAGTGTCATGGGTGAAAGCTCCTACTCAGCCCCTGTGCAGCAGATAGAACCCTTGGGAAAGGCTTTGCGGAGCACTGCCTGATGGGGCTCTCGCGAAGATGAGAACTAATGGCTGAGGGGGGGCAGGAGCAGACCAGGGGTTGGAGGAGAATGCTGGGCTAGGGCAGGGATGGGTGGGGTGGGGGATGGTGTCCTGCACTGGGTTGAGCAGGGTAGTGGCAAGGGCATAGTTGGAAGGGGACCGTTTGGGGAGCACTGCTCTTCAGGACATCATCATGGAGGAAGGTGAATGTTCCGTGGGAGCAGTGGCGGACCAGGGGTTGGAGGAGAATGCTGCGCTAAGGAAGGGCTGGATGGGATGGGGATGGTGTCCTACACTGGGTTGAGCAGGGTAGTGGCAAGGGCATAGTGGAAGGGGACCGCTTGGGGAGCACTGCTCTCCAGGACATCCCTACACTAAAGAAATTGCTAATCCCGCAGTATGTAACAAATCGCCGATCTGGGCCGTCGTCGGTCCTACCGGCCCACGGCCCAGATCAATTGAGCGATGTAACAAATGTAACATCTGGGCCGTCGGGACCTTTCGGATTGTAGGTCCCGAGCAACTGCGCGCCGATCGGGACCGTCAATCCGAAAGGTCCCGACGGCACAGATGTTACAACCGGTTTGCCTTTAAGAGGGCCCGTCTCCCCAACGGGCAAACCGGTTCCCGTGGGCTAGGCTGCTTTCCCAACGGGCAAACCGGTTCCCGTGGGCTGGCCGTGTTACCTCACTGTGCGCAGACCGTTTCGTCACAGTCGCATGTCGCGTAACTGTGAATCGCAGCGGCCAGATCGTGCGAGTTGTCATCCAGCGCTCTCTCCTCTCTCTCTCTCTCTCTCTCTCTCTCTCTCTCTCTCTCTCTCTCTCTCTCTCTCTCTCTCTCTCTCTCTCTCTCTCTCTCTCCAGTGTGTATATACATATCACGGTTGCTTCTTCTTCTTCTTCTTCTTCTTCTTTCCGCGCATCTGCGGTCCGCGCAGAGCGCAGCGCACTTCATCTATGCGCCGCAAGTATGATACAAACACTGTCAAACAACTTTTGTTGTAGATATTAAATAACCCCTCTAATCCCTGTCTATAGACTCTATACCCTCTCTGAACCCTATGATGGCCCTACAAGCTTTTCATGAAATAAGGACGTAGTTCTGTTCTATTTGCCATGCACATGCCTTTTTTTTTCAACCTTGGCCATTTCTTAATCATCCTGAATTCCGAATGAATCTACTTCGTAATCCGTCCTGCTCATCTGGCCGGATTTTACCTTGCCGCCTACCATCTTCACCCCAAAATAACGCCTGGGTGTTATGCTCAACTACTTTTTTTTTTAAACCACCAGTACCTCGCCCAGCTATGCCGCCCGACCCTCCGGCAACCGGTATGCCGAGCCTGCCGAGCCTGGCAGTACCAGTACCAGGGAGGGCCGAGGCTGGGGGGACCAGTAAAAAAAAAAAAAAAAAAAAAAGCAAAAACGCTAGGGACGTGAATGCAGCTGCATACA